ACAACCATACTTCCCTACTAAATAGCAAAACAAATTCACAACTTAAACAAACCAAAATACACGTTCAAACCCAACTAAAAAATCCTAAATACGTAGCTGATTTATTCAACTAAAATAAAACTCGTCTATATCATAATCTAATTTATTTAAATTATTGAGATAAACTCAATCTTAATTAACAAATAAATCCCTAAGAAAACTCCTAAAATACAATTTAATTAACATTTACCCATTACCAAAATGGGTACGTAATATAATATCATAGGTTTTTTTTTGTTTTTTGTTTTTTTTAATACTTATGGAAAACCGTGGGGGCTTTTGGATATCTATCTCTGAAGGGGCTAATTTAAAAAAAAAACCCAAGTTGTGGTTTGGTGGTAAGTGCTTTTATTCTCCAAACAATATGCCCGGTTCAAGCCGTGGAGCTTCCAATTTGTTATGATTAATAAATAAATAAACATTATTAGCATAGAGAATATGAGGAGGAGGAATACAACCCCTAGGAGCATGGATCGATGCATTTAATCTTTCCATAATTAAACATCGGCTGAGACCTTCTTCTGATAAAGAAAACGAAATAGGAGACAAAAGGATCTCCTTGCCAAAGCCAAACACCTTTTGAACAATTTGAGATTCCACATCTATTAAGAATGAGATTTAAATGACTATAGGGGAAACAATTTGAGCCACAATTTGCCAAGAGTACCTTAACACTACAGAAAAAAGTAATCTTATAAAAGTTTTTTCTTTCTGGGTAAATTTTCTACAACTAGAAGGTCAACAGTTCACCGTCTTCTGGGATTCAATGAAAGTTTTTCTTCCTTCCACATACTTGGGTGTTCTTTTTTTTTTTTTGTTAAAGACAAGCTACATGTTGTATTTTTAAGACCATTGGCTGATATAGGTTGGAAGGGGAAACTTTTATCCATGGCAGGGAGGGTGCAGTTTGTTCATTCAGTTTTTCAATCCATGTTGCTTCGCAATTTCTCGATTTTATAGGTGGCCTTCATCTTTGGTGGAATCTCCTACGACTCATGCTCGTAATTTTATTTGGTAATTAGGTGATATGGATCAGAGAAAGCTTGTTACTGTCTCTTGAAAACGATGTTGTTTACCTACGTTCAAAGGTGGTTTCGTTATTCATAATTTTATTTTTTTTTCTGTTTTATGATCGGGGGTATTCAGACTAGTTTATGCGTACTTTAACTAATCTCTCGAAACTCTGTAACTATCGGTCGGATAAGAGTTTCAGTGATTACTCTTATTAGCAACCGATGAGAGAATCAAACTCAGATCTCCTTAAGTAATATACCTAAGAGTCCATGTCGAACTATACGATCACCCAAGGTAGTTGTTATCGTAATCTTGACCTCTCAATCTTGCGGTTGTCCTGAACACAAGGTAAAAAAATTTGTAATCTGATACAGCATGGGTTGTTTTGTTGGGCTCCAAGTACAAGTTTTCTTCTGTCATTAAACTACTCTTATCATTTTTCGTCAGTTTGGCATGGTATTAAACAAATTTTCAGTTTAATTCATGGAAAAAGCAAGCGTGTGGTTGGTAATGGTTTAGGGTTAATTTTTGGAAGGATAGATGGCTCGATAAACCAATTCTTGATATGATTGGATTAAACCGAGATCTAGAAGTTAACGACCGGATAAACCTTTAGTAGCCATCCTTATTAGGTGCCGAGGTTGATTGAACTCAAGAAATCTTGAGTAATACACCCATAAGTCCTGATTAACCACTCGACCACTCAATGATGGTTACATCAATTGATATTGCAAAGGGTAATATTCTTAAGGATATACTGATTTGGGAGGAATATGTGCATGGTTTCTCTTGGCTTTTCAAATGCTTATGACTCCAAAAGAAAATCCAATTCTACTTTCTCGGGGTGCAAATTGGTATAGCAAAATTTTATTCCTCCAAAGTCTCAACTGTTCTTTGGAAAAATTTTCATCTTCAGCTTCCTACTAAAGATATTTTGAGATCAAAAGGATTGCCTATTGTTATACAAGTTGTGAAATTGATTAAACCAAACCCCTATTTCTGTATTATATTAAATTCTTATAAGTAAAGTTTGATTGCGAAATGACACTTTTTCCTTTGTTCATCCTATTATAAAATTACAAACACCCCCAATAGAGAAATTCTATAACACCCCCCATCTCTCAAAAGATGGTTATCAACACCTTCAACGTTGCTAGAGGCCTCCAAGGCCTTCCGTCAGCCGCTTGAGGCCTCATGGCAACTGCAAAAGCCACAAAGGCTTCACAACGATTCTGATTGAGGGTCGATAAAGCCTCTCGATGGCCATGATCATGCCTCAGGGCACACTCTTGAGGTGATTAACAATGGTGAGAAGAAAGGAAAAAGAGGGGGAAAGAGAGAAAACAGAAAGAACTAAGAGAAATTGGGAAATAAATAAAAAAAAAAGTAGGGGGAAAGGGAGAAAATAACTATTAGGTGAAACTTTAATATCACGGTTGAACCAAAGTCTAACATTAGAAAAGTCAAATTGTCTTAATATAATTAAATGTTTCTCTTATTGTAACTCAACTTAAGGGGTGATTCGACCGACATAACCCTTGAATTTCACATATTTATGAAAGAGAAAGTTTGAATAAAAAAAAAGAAAAGAAATGGAAAATTTAGACTCTTGTCTTGTTATAAATTTAAACACTAGACAAATACTCCCCCCGTTTTGAAATAAAAACTGTTTTAAGTAATTGTATACTTTTTAATAAATTAATTTTTTAATATAAATTTTTTTTCTCTCTCTTACTCCATCTCTTATTCGCTCCTCCCCTGAAAGTACGGTGAAAAATGCAATGAAGAAAAAACAATGATGAGAAAGTTGTGTTAAATGGCGTTTGAAAGAGAGGGAGAGGAGATGTCATAGACAAGACAACGACACTTAATTTGAAAAAAAAGTTAAACCCTCAACACGTTATTTATTAAAAAACAGAGGGAGTAATATAAACAATATTTATTAATCAAAGTCGATTTGCTTTATAAAAAGAAGATATCAATGAACTTCTATGAAATAGTTTTACAAGATTCGGCCAATTATCCTGATAGCGAGATATCATTGAAACATGAATATAGCTATAATGTATTACTTATTTTTAAGATATCATAAAAATATGCGAGGAAGTGTATACATAATTTTATAATATGTTAAAATTTATTATTCCAATCTTACATCTTTTACAGTAGACACTATAATACCATTTTGTAAGAGAAGACTAATTATAAGTCTACTTATAAAGGGTACCATTATATCCTTACCTTTCTTCTGAACTATTAGATCATGGTTTATCATTCAAGATGATAGATAAGGAGTAACAGGAGTAACACACGATACCATAACACAACCCTGTAATTTACAATAGCTTATGGATATCGAAAAAAAATAAAAATATCCTTTCAACTCAAAAGATAGTTTAATGAGTTTGTGTGCAAAAACTACCATTGGATAGCTTAATAGTAAAAGAGCAAACGGTCCAACATAGGTTCTTAGGTTAGAGGCCTCTCAAGCACTAATAAAAATGACCACTGAAAAGATTTACTTGACTGCTAACTTCATGACGCTAAAAGTCTGTGTGCAAAAACATACAAGATTCTATATGATAGTTACGATAATATATTAAAACTCTTCAAAACGTTACCCCTAGTGATACAATACAATCATATAATAACCAACCGTTCATTATTGATGTAAATAAATATCCTCGATTTTGTAGGGTAATTATAATCACTTTCTTTGAAAAGGCATACGGCCTAAACTTCTAAACATGAACCAAAGGTTCGAATGGAGGATAATGTTATCCTTAGTTGTTAACAGGATCATATAAGTTATTATAACTTATTGGGTGCGTTTGGTTTAGTATTTTGGATAGGATTTTAGGGATAGTATTGGGTTATTGGATATGGGAGTATTACGAGGTAAATTTTAAAAATTTATAAAAAAGCCCTTAGGTTTACTAATTTAACTAAAGACCCTAACATGTAAAATGACAAAAACACCCCCACCATCTGCAGTGTCAGATTCCGGCCACCACCGCCGGAATCTGGCCGGAAAATTTCGTTACGGCACAGACTTGTCCGATCTGTGCCGTAACACGTCGTTATGGCCTTTTCCGGCTAGTCCTGGTGGATCTGGCCGAAAGGCCAGATCTACGGTTTGTTTTGCCGTCGACGGCCGGAAAAGGTCAAACGACGGCCAGATCTGGCCTTTTCCGTCAGACCGTGTGGATCTGGCCGGAAAAGGCCACAGCGGTGAACTTCCGGCCATTTCTGGTCGGAAGTTTGGGCCGTTGAACAGATTCCGGCTATCACCGAGGGTGGTTGCCGGAATCTGACAAGTTGGGTTGATGGGGTGTTTTTGTTAATTTTTAAACTTTTTTTTCAGGGGGTTTAGTTGAAATTAATAACTTTATGGGTTAAAATGTAATTAAAAAAATAGGGTAATATTTTGAGAATATTGTACCAAACGCTATTTGAAAAATAGGATCCAGAATAGGGATAAAATATTAAACCAACCATACATTAATATCGAGACAAAATGATTGAAAAATGTCAAGGGGTATTTAGTAAATTTACCCAATACAGGATCCTATGTAAATACTACAACAGCTTAGTGAAACCTCCAAAATTGAGGAATATTGTCATAGGCTTTGTCTCCGCCACCCAAATCCAACTCAAACCTCAATAATTTCACAATAGAAAAAAATTTAATAATGTTATTTCAACTACAATCAAACCTTCTTAATTAAAAAAAATAAATTAATTATTTTTTAAAATAAATATAACAATTCATAATGTAATCTTGACTTGATTATATGATTTATGTACTAAATCAAGAAAGTTAAACGTGTTTTAGTGATTAACACATAATTAATTAAGCAAGAATGGTATCAAAAAGTCTTTTGCTAAGTGGAGCTCCAGCCACCAGCCAGCCAAAATAGAAATAAAAAAAGTGCTTTTCAAAAATAAGAGAAGTGGTCTTTATTTTGTTTTGTTTTTGGTTTTTTTGGTTTGAAGAGTTTTATTGTTTTTTGCTTTTGATCCCTCTGTTTCAAAAGAGGGGAAGGAGAAGATATGGAGAGCGTTTTAACATGGTGGCAAGTGACGAGTTTGTGTGGAATTGTTTCGTGGATTTTGGTAGCTTCTCATTTGAATTTGACAAAAAAGATTAGATCTCTGGTGCAATTTTGGGTGACCCGTCAGGTCATCAATGACACTCCTTTAATTCTCCAGATCCAGGTTGAGACCTTTTGAACAATAGCCAGATTCTCATTTTTTGTATAAGGCTTTGTTTTTGGTTGGTTTTTGAAGGTTTAGTTAGTTGGCTTTAATGGGTTTGTTTTGTTTTACAGAATTACCAGCATAAATTTTTGGATGATTTCTTCTCTGGGTTATCTTGTGTTGTTTCAGTGCCTTTTTATACAGCTTTTTTACCTTTTCTCTTCTGGGTATGTTTTGTTTTGGCTTGGCTTATTTTTGTTGCTTATTGTTGATTTAATAGGTGTTTTTCATATATAAAGTTACTGTTTTGGGGTTATGCTGTAGAGTGGTCATGGAAAATTGGCAAGACAGATGACTCTTTTGATGGCCTTTTGTGATTATTTAGGGAATGCTGTAAAGGTGATTAATTTCTTTTACTTGTTGGTTAAAGTTTTTGTTTCTTTTTTTTTAATTTTGATTGTGAGGCTAAGAATGAGATGTTTAAGTTAATTCTTTTTTGCCCTTTGGTGGTGTTTTGTGTTTATATAGGATGTGGTTTCAGCTCCTAGACCTACTTCTCCACCTGTGAGGAGAATAACAGCTACCAAAGATGAGAAAGAGAATGCAATGGAATATGGATTGCCTTCTTCTCATACTCTTAACACAGTTTGCTTATCCGGGTATTCATAATTCCTTACACTGTTGATGTTTTGCTTCTTTTGTGTTTGTGTTATAGGCATATTTATTGGGCTGTATAGTAGGTTGTGTTCCTAGGGGAATGTAAGGTATACATTTCTAGACCTTCTGCAAAATGACAATTTCTGAAAATGCTCAAATCAAGGAGGTTAAAATTGTTCATCTGGTTTTCAAATTAATGTAGTATTCATGGGAAAGTTTTGTGCCCCAATATGCTTCTTCAAGTTGCCAATGTACAAATTGTTATGTTCTAGAAATGGATTAATTATTGTCTGTACTAATTGTTTCCTGTGGAACTTGTGATGTTTTCCAGGTATCTTGTGCACTATATCCTATCTTATTACCAACCTGACAATGGCTTCATAAAATTTGCTGCAGTTGCCTTTGTTTGCTTGCTTGTAGGGCTTATTGGTATAGGTAGGTTTAACTCTTACAAAATATTGGCAGCACTAGTAGTTTTTTACTGTGCATTCCTGAACTGAAATCTGGTTTTCTTGGTAGGAAGGATTTACCTTGGCATGCACAGTTTGATTGATATCATAGGTGGACTTGCAATGGGATTGTTGATCCTTTCATTTTGGCTTAAAGTTCATGAATACATTGACAATTTTATAGTCTCTGGACAAAATGGTATGTCCTATTCTTGATATTTCATTCTTGGTATCAAATTTTTAATGATTATTAGCTGCTGTTTTTGCTACTCTGGGAATGTCATGAAAGCCATTCCTTTGACTGAGAAAGTTGTGGAGGAAGTCACCTTTCTTTTGCATTACCTCCTATCTCAGTTGTGTTTTTAGGAGTATCTGGGTTAGCTAGATGCAGGGCTGATAATAGGAGAAGGTTTCGGCATACCTTGAACCAAAACCTAATTTAGAATTTGCCTGATAGTTACTATAAAATTTAATAATGGTGCCTGATTATGTGTTTCTCTGGCTAAAACAAGCTCCAGTAATGCAAGCTACCATCTTTTGAAATAGGGGGCATATGAACTACTTGGGAAAAGGAGAGATTGCATCATCCACATGAGAGCACCCTGCATTAAAGATAATTGTCATCGGTTGAAAATCAACAAGGACTTCTAGTGTTAGTTTGGAAGCTTTAACATTTGTTGAAATGCTAGTTGTCCTTCCTACAAAATCAAATATTATAAAAGCATCCAAACTTTCTAACATTATAAGTCCTTGTTGATTTTCAACTGATGACAATTATCTATTACTGAAAGCTGATTCTGGTTTAGCAGAAGTTAAAATATGAATAATTTTTTGTTGAAACGCTAGTTGTCCTTCCTTAAAAAAGGGGGAATTTGGTCAATTTGGAACTGCAATTTCTCTAAATTGAATCTAGAAAGGGACATTGATATGCAGAATTTGACAAGCTTGCTATGTATTTATGTTATTTCTGTTGCAGTTACATCATTCTGGGCAGCCCTGAGCTTCTTGTTGCTCTTTGCCTATCCAACACCTGAGTTTCCAACTCCAAGCTTTGAGTTCCATACTGCCTTCAATGGTGTTGCACTAGGAATTGTAAGTGTTTCTTCACCCATTTACTATCGAAACAATGCTTGGGTTAACTTTCACTTGCACCTATCACCAAGAATTCATCAAAATCTTTCTAACATGAATCGTTCTCCTACATTTCACTGTCACTAGTGGAAAATATAGCTGCAATAGTTATGGCATTTGGAGAAATAAGGACAAATTGACAGGATAATTCTGAAGTGCTTAAGTTAATTCTTGGAAAATATGGAAAAGGAATTTTTTCTAAAAGAAAAAACTATATATTCTTTTAATGATTACTGACTTCTTCCTGTTTCGCTACTTCACTATATGTTTTTTCTTTCTCTGTAATGGAAAAGTTTTTTCTTCTCTAATGTTTGGTAATGTCATATAAAGAAGAAAATGTTTATACTTGTTTAACTAAAGAAATAAATTTCTTCCCTGCTTTTCTACTTTCTTGTGTTTTGATTATTAACTAAAGCGACAATATTATCCAGGTTGCTGGAGTCCAGCAAACATACTCGCAGTTCCACCATGAAGCGGTGCCACGCCTCTTTACCTCAGAATTCACGGGCCCTGTGTTCATAGGAAGAATTCTTGTGGGACTTCCAACAATTCTTCTAGTTAAATTCTGCAGTAAGGCGCTTGCAAAGTGGATGCTTCCTGTAATATCACACACCTTAGGCGTCCCGATAAAATCAACCAGCTACATTCCCATGCTTAACGGATCAGTTACTGGAAACAAGTCAGATAAGATTAAGCAGACTAGTTATGCTCATAAGTTATTCTTTTTCTCTGGGCAGGAAACGTTCGATGTTGATACTGGTATTAGATTCCTTCAGTATGCAGGACTAGCATGGTCGGTCGTAGATCTTGTTCCATCGGTTTTCTCTCACTTGAGGTTATAACATTCATCGATCGATCGAATGCTCAATGTATTCTCGACCGATGTTATTGCACGATATTAGTATACATTTGACGCTTAATATATATATATATATTTTGTAATTCTGTAAATCACCTATTTTGGTTAGGGAGATAACAATCCGTTTGTTTCTTTTTCTTCTGGTTGAGTTGTTCTGCCGTTATTATCATATAGAGGTCAATTTGTAGTTACATTTAGTGAAGCAGCAGATGCCATATATGTTCTTGAGACTAGAGATTGTATTCATAAATATTAGAAATTCTTGATGAAATTATTTAGTTTTTTTTTTTTTTAAACCTTTTTGTTCCAACAATTTTATTTTATTTTTTGCTTTCTGGGTATGCAACTTTTATATTTCATGGATGGCAATTGATAGAAAATTATTGGCAAAATAAGCTTATAATTAATTGGGTTTTATTTCTATTGAATAACAAATTCCTCAAGTCTGAAAATAATAGGTTAGAATTTTTATAATGACCTAGACAGCATTTCTTTGATCGGTAAAATACACCGAAATACTGCCATCAAATTCATTACCCTTGATTTATTAAACACTAAATCTTAACCAAACATGAACGATCAGGGTATAAATTATTATATTTCTTTAAATATTTGAGAAAATAATTTTTTTTTATGGTATGATAATTGGCTACCCCCAGTACAACTCCAACTCAAAACTGGGGACACGCTTTCAATCATGATTCATGTGCCCCTCTATCCATCTGGCCAGAAGTGGATGGTTGAAATTACTATTTACGACAATTAATGAAAAATTATTAATTTAAATATTTGAGAGAGAAATTGTATTTACGAAAAGCTAAAGGGGGAAATTGTATTAAACCCTAATTAAATCCAGTAATTGATTCTTCATGACCTAAATTAATATATAACCATTCATACCTGAATAGCAAACCTATCACTCATCTAGAAGAATCAAATTAAAAGCACAAGTAAAACTGATTAAAAGATTAAAAAAAAAAAAAAGAGTTTGAAAGTCATAGTAACATGGGTAACCAAAAACAGAAACCATATAAAACAACAGCATTTCAATCACCCTCGTTAAAATATAAAGGGAAGAATAAATTAAGAAAAAAAGGTAAAGCACCCGGCTAGATATCAAATTCTTTTATCCCGATACCAAGTCATCGAATGAGATGGGGTCAGGAAAAAGAATAATAAGTTGAAAGTACATAATTAAATAAGAATATCTACATATTCAGCACATTGTAACACTTAAATGACGATCAGTGATTAGCTACGCAACTCTCCAGTAGAGTTCCGACAAAGCTTTTTCAAGAGTAAGACACATTAAAAGGGTATCTAACCTCCCTAATATACATTCCCTTTCGACACAATCATCAGAGAAGCAGGTCTAGAAACAAAATATAAGATTTCAAACCCAGCCAGCATCTGTTGAACAAGGATCAATGATTGAGCGACTGTGGCCGAAAGAGGGGAGGAGATGAAGTGGAATGGAATCAGTATGGCAAGGCAGCTTCACAGGAAATAGTCAGGCGTTCTGCGGGTAACATCTGGTTCTCCTCTCCGAGGAGCTGGCTCAAACTGTAAAAAAATGAACTTTGTTGAACATCCAGAACGTCAAAAATGGATTTGAACACTCAGCAATAAATTGAATGGCTCAAAAACCCTGTGAGATTATCTTACTCAATGTTTTTGGAAACTATTAAAAATCCTGTAAAAGGAATGATGCTTTAATAGTTGATGCAAACATCGGTACCAATAAAATTCAAGGATATCTTGCAGAAGTCTATGATAATTAGTCTAAATTCTTGAGGAAAATGAGAGAGAGAGAGAGAGACCTGGATGAATGTGTGGCCCTTGCAATCGTCAACTTCCAAAATAGAAGCCATGTTCCCACAGCGATAGCAATAGTTAGGTGCACTAAAAATAGTAACCACCTTTTGTTCCTGTCCCAGGGAAGAAAAGTTAAAAGTCACGCTCAAAATCCTTTCATGCAGGATAAAAAAAAAAAAAAAAATCTTATAATTATATCATAGTCTTTAAGAACTTACATGTGCCCAGTTAAATCCATCCATGACCAACTGATGAGCTCTGGCAATCAACTTTAAGTCGTTTGTATGATTAAATTGTTCGGATATGTCCTGCAAAGCAGAATGCAATCGTTAAAAGAGGACTAAAGATAAGAGAGGTAACCATTAAAAATTTAAAGAAAGCTGAATCTTGAAAGTAAAGGTAGGATTTCATATTTGAGAGCGAGTTACCTGGCCAAACGTATATCCAGCACCACGAGGTGAAATACCCCAGCCACATCTATCATCTGGGTCAGACCATAACAAATCACACATGGGTCCTTCATGAGGAACCTCTTGAACACGGTCAAAGTTCCTGATGTTATCAAGGGTTTCAATAGAAGGTGATAGTCCACCATGCAGACAGAAAATTTCTGACTCAACCTACATAGGAGGGAAAAAGGACTTAGATGTGTAGAATAATACTATGATAGGCTACCAATAGTCAAAATCCTTCCACTATCATCATAATCACTTCAGCCTCAATGAAGAACCATGGAGCAGAACCACAATTTTGATGTGACTAATACAAATGCTCGTTTCTTCATTATCTTTCTTTTCCCCATAAAATCCACATTTCGGTGACTTTCAATCAAAAGTATGAGCAGCAAGTTTTTCTTCTACCTTTTTTTTTTAAATTAGTGATAAGAAACTATTGAAGTTGCATTAATATAATGCTTTTTTTTCACTTACCAAGGCAGTCAATGGAAAGTAGTCAAAAAGGTCGGTAAAAATCTTCCAAATATTAGCATTGCCATACCTGCAAATAAATCATTAAAAGAAGATATTATCTCTCCATATGACAATGGCAGGACATGCCAATAGGACCTTAGCAGAAATGACCCATCCAGAATCATACAACTAGAAAGGAAAGTAAAACCAACATATAAATTGGTAAAGGCACTACTTACGGAATTCCACAGAAAAACTGGCAGCAAAAATATTGACAAATCACCCTTAGTGTCATTCAGGAGAACTATTAACAGAACTATGCATCATTTTGTAATTACAACATTTGTATATCAATAACTGCAAGATGCATGCATAAACATTAAACAGGATGAAAAGACGGGGATTCAACATATCCTAAGAGTTTTGAGCTTCAATTTTTTTTGTTCTTCTGTTGTATCCCAACTCCCAACCTCCCTAATTTATGCCAATTGCTCCCTCTTCCCCAAACTTTGGTGCAAACAGGATTTACTACCAAAGCCTCTAGTATGACTACAAACTAGCTAGCTAGTAATGTGATTTTGAATAAACAAACCATATGAAAATTAATAATAATAATAATAATAATTTAATTTTGAAGTCATACAGAACATGTTCCGTTGTGAAGAGAGAACTCACTTCCGCAGACATTCATCATAAAATCCATAAACCTGAGTAATCTGTGACATTAAATGAAGCAATATTTAGCTCAATATTCGCAATCAACATTCTACAAGTTAAACAACAATTTATGCAAAATAAGACTCAACCATTGCATTAGAAGGCTTTAAATAACATGTCTTTACAAAGGAACAACAGACTAGAGCTAGTTTAACTGAGATCATAAGTTAAATAAACTACCAAACAAATTCGAAACATAGTGCTTGAACCATGTTCAGAATCTGCAACTCACTGCAGCTGATTGGAATAAAAGGCCACTAGGGGCAAAAAGAAATGAAACTAAAAAGAGAAGAAAAGGATTATAAGAATGTACCTGACGACTTTCATGGTTTCCTCTAAGAATAGTGATCCGCTGAGGATAACGTACTTTAAGGGCCACTAACAGCTGGATAAACACATGATTCAGTATCACAAATAACTTCAAGTATATCCCTAAGTGTCAATATAGCAAATAAATCTACACTCCTTCCCCCAAAACCAACATAAATGATCAAAAGCTGCTAGTAAATATTCATACAATTGTAAAATTTCAGTCTTTGCTGAATACCACAATTTAGTCTCAGAAACACTACTCAATATTGACCTTCATATACAGGTTTTGTGGCACCAGATAACATGGATCAAGGTGTCAGCATTACCTAACTCTCAACTTCAATTATTGCCAAGTGATATATTTCTTTTATGTTCCCAGTACATATGACATGAGAATTTAGGAGGGAGAAGAAGGATAAGATTTGCTTAATCAATTAACTAAATTTTTTGTTAAAACAAGAGCTAGTCCAACATTTTGGGATTACCACTTGTGGACATTTTTTCATAGGAAACAGGAAGTTTTATTAAAGATGGAAAGAACTACCAAGGAGTGGACCAGCAATCCACAAAACTAAAGTCAAGATAAATATATCATCTAACACTCCATTTCTTTATTACGAAAAACAATAGAATATTATTCTCACCCACCTGTAAAATTATTCCCTCAAAGCTTGAAAAGTGCCAGTTTGCCACTTACATTAAAATTTCAGATTTCAAGCAGTTGCATCAAAGCCATATAAATTTCCCTTTCATCATATCTTCCATTTTTCATATGATTTTTCAGCTATCACCATCAATACGTAAGCTTCTAAAATAACTCCAAAGATGTAGTTTAAATTAGACTTACTGTGACGGTTTCAACAGAGTAATAGCCACGGTCCACATAATCTCCCATAAACAAGTAGTTGGTATCTGGACACTGTCAATTTAAATTGTAAGATCAGATTGAAATCAACAGGAAAGATGTTCAGAAGATAAATCAACAGATCATCTTATCCGAAAACATAGAAATACACAGTGAACTAGTGAAGGCACTTAACAAATCAAATCAAACCACATAGATGTTATCAAGAGATGGTAGAACCAATGAAAGCATAAATCTTATTATGGTTGTTTTTGAAAGCCAGTTAAGATAAACTAAGTCAGATCAAAATGGCTCTAACTTGAATCTAATGTTGATGATTTTTTCCAATGAAAGAAATACAATACACCATTAATCACAAGAAATCCATCAAAGCACAACTCCTATGCAGAGAAGTGAGTTTTTTCAAAAGAGCATAAACTAAACAATATACGCCGATGCTTAGTAAATAAAATGAACAGTTTCCTGACTACTGGCGATTTACCCAACTACAATACCTCTGGAGCACTTCAATCTGCAAAAGCATTTCTTTGACAGGACCAAATAATTATTTTAGAAATTCCCTCAGCTGAAACAGAAAGTTGAATACAAAATGGTTATAGTCAAAACTGATACCTTCCCTCCAATTTGAAAAAGTTCTGCAAGATCATGAAACTGCCCATGAATATCGCCACAAATTGTCACAGGGCTTTTCACAGGCTGTAACACAAAAAAAAACATTACAAGAAAAATCAATGTTCTATATTAAGATAAGCAGTATGACAAATACTTAGCGAAAGGCAGGCAAAAGGAAAAAGTCGATATAAAAAGAGTCCAATAATCATACTGCAAGCAGAATTTGAGAACCAAGCAATTAATTTTCAAACTGAAGGCAACCAACAGCAGAGTAACTAGTTCCAAAGAAAATTCTTATCTTCCCTGAGGTTAGAAATAATACCAGAGCAAGTAAGGTTACATATTTAGTTACAAAAAGAATTGTCAAGAAAAAATAATGTGATACATTGAGAAGTAAGAAAAGAGCTGAACCTGGACATTGCTTTCGTCCATCAGTATCTCTTTAGCCTTCTCACATAATGCTTTTACCTACAGCATACCAAAGCAAAAACAAAAAACGTTAGTTGTCAGCTTCTTTCGCTTAAGAGAATAAACTGACAACAATCAAATTTGATAAAGACAAAATTATACTAAAACAAGGGTGTGATATGAAATGTTATACTTGATACACAGAACGTCACAACTTATAACACTAAAGTCATACTTACAACAAGATATGACATGTAAATGTTACAAGCATGATATCATAAGCATAATATTCCATTTCAATAAAAATTTGCAACCCCTGTAATGCCACTGAAAACGATTTTTTATCACATAGAATGTCACACTTATAACATGAAACGTCACACCTATTACCTTTACATGCTATCAATGTCACAAGTGTAAAGTTTCATGCTAAAAGTTTGACATTCCACATCACAAAAAAATATTTTCCACAAAGCTTGATCCTTAACAACCAAAACACTACAGATATAAATAAAAAAATTGAAAATTCAGAAAACATAAAAGATGTTGCTTTCTACACTTCCGTCTTGTACTTCAGACTACTCCACAAAATGATAAAGAACACGTCTTCACTGTTCATTTTCAAATTGTTAGAACAAAAATATGAATTTCTTAATTTCATTTTCAAATTCATTCTTGAAAACAAAAAAATCAAACACAATACCAAAGGCACATAATCAACATCTGTTAGTGAATTATCACTCAACCGAAACAATCAACGGACGAGATCTCGCCACGAATTCGCTAGTCAAAACGCCGATTCAGTCGATTGGAATCAAATCTAAACCCTAATTCAACAGAAAGTAACAGTGATCGAGCTCGTTTCGCATAAATAAACAAATAGATTCAATTGAAAGCTGTAACTGTAAGGAACCTGCTGTTCGGAGAGTGGCTTGCACTGCATGAGCTGCGTGATCTGCTCGTCCAGATCGGTGGTGGAGTCGGTGGATAACGAATTCGCGCCCATCTTGATTCCAAAATGGGGATAACGCTATCCGGATTAGGAATATCCCCAACCCTAGAGTGAGACTGAGAGATTCCTCTGGGGCGTGTTTTGTTTCCCTTCTAGAGAACCAAGTCGAAATGAGAGAGCGCGTGAAAAAATGAGCTCGTGGGCGCGTTGTGATTGTATACTCATGTATAGTGATCCGTTAAATGGAAAATTTGATTAAGTTGACGATATTTAGAGCGTCGGCAAAATTGATTGATTGTTTTTTTATTTTTTATATATTGATTATTATTATTTTGTTTAGGTGCGACTAATTTTGTTGGATCTTAAAATTCCAAAGTGGCTCGAACTCTAGATAATCTCCTTAAACCTTAAAATTTCGAGGTGACTCGATTTCCTAAATAAGATAATCATAAGTTATTATCTAATCATTCGATCACCCAATGATGATTATATTATTTTTTGTTTACGTTAAATTAATTATTAGATACATTTTTTGACATAAATATCCTACGCGAAGTAAATATAACATTGTTTTAAGACTCAAATATGTAAAACTTGTCATGATCTAAGTGGTGTAATTGCAATAAAATAAACTAATAAGAATTGAAAATAAAAAGGACTGAAATAAGAAAATTTTATTAACTCTTTCTCCCAATTGAGATGCCTATAAAATGAAAGAAATTTGCTCAATTTATGGTCCATCCTCAGTTCCTCACATACTTAACCCCGTCTAAAGACCAATTGTATAACAACAAATCATGATTTATGTCTTTTAAGTGGACTCACATGAGCCATGTGCAAAATCAATAGGAGTCCACAGCTTATAACAAACAATAATATTTTGAATACCACTGAGTCATATAAATAAATAAAAATTATATAAAATTTATGTAAAATAACTGTTTTGTCCTTTATTTTTTGTCTGTTTGTATAACTTAATTGTACAACTCAATTGTAAGTATAATATTACTCTACAACAAAACCATGAATGAATATTTTCTGGTTTACTTAGGTTTGTTCATATTAAGATTTGAATATGGTGAGTTAGGATTATAATTTTTTACTTTATTTTATGAAATTTGTGAAAATATATTTGTTATAATGACATATATTGTTATATTTTGATGGAAAATTGAGTTAAAATGGTATGAATTATTTCACCTTTATCGTCATTAAACAATTATATAGACACAAATTTTCTACTTATCACGATNTGAGCTCGTGGGCGCGTTGTGATTGTATACTCATGTATTTGAGCGTCAGCAAAATTGATTGATTGTTTCTTCTTTATTTCTTTTATTGATTATTATTATTTTGTTTACGTGTATCTCTACTATTGGCTTCGTTTGGTTGGATTTTGAGAAGGCTAGTTTTAGTATTCTCAAAAAAGTTAAACAGTAAAATACCCAAAAACTCACAATATTATTTAACTTTATTCAACTTTTTTTAAATCTCTTAAATTTGTTAATTTAATTAAATACCCCTAAATATTTTTAATGTTTTTGTTACAGTAACTCCGGCCACCCTCCGGCGGTGGTGGCCGGCTGTTCGTATTTGAGGGTAGGCTAGGAGTGTTTTTGTTAACTTTTAATATTTTATTATAGGGGGTGTTTTGTAAAAAAAAAAATATAGGGGGTATTTTATTAATTTATAAATCCTACATCGTAATACCCGCCCAATTCAACTTTTTTTTTAACTTTTTTCAAAAAAAATTTCCCAAAAACACAAAATTGTGAACCAAACGAAGCCATTGTTTTTCAATAGTAAGTTCTAAAGGGACTCAAACTGTCAGCTAATTCCCTTAAACCATTTAACTTGAGATGATTTGAATTCAAAACCTCTTAAATAATATATTTACGAGTCATTATCTAATTATTCAATCACTTAAGGGTGATTAGATTATTTCTTATTTACGTTAAATTAATTATTATATACATTTTTTGACATAAATACCCCAAAGTAAATATAACATTGTTTTAAGGCTCAAATATGTAAAACTTGTCATGATTTAAGTGGTGTAATTACAATAAAATAAACAAATAAGAATTGAAAATTAAAAGTAAAATAAAAAAGCCTGAAATGGGAAAATTTTATTATCTCCTTCTCCCAATTGAGATGCCTATAAAATGAAAGAAATTTGCTCAATTTATAATCCTTCCTCACATATTTACCCTCGTGTAAAGACCAATCATGATTTATGTCTTTAAGTGGACTCACATGAGTCATGTGCAAAATTGGTAGAAATCCACCACTTACAACAAATAATAATATTTTGCTTACAATTGAGTCATATGAACAGATAAAAATTATACAAAATTTATATAAAATAACTGTTTTGTCATTTTTTTTTTTTTCTGTTTGTACGATTTAGTTATACAACTCAGTTGTAAGCATAACATTGCTCTACAACAAAACCATGAATAAATATTTTATGTTTTACTTAAGTTTGTTCGTATTAAGATTTGAATATGGTGAGTTAGGATTATAATTTTTTACTTTATTTTATGAAATTTGTGAAAATATATTTGTTATAATGACATATATTGTTATATTTTGATGGAAAATTGGGTTTAAATGGTATAGATTATTTCACCTTTATTGTCGTTAAACAATTATATAGACACAAATTTTCTACTTATCACAATAAATATTAATGGAAAATATACGATAAAGAATAATGTCAATGGAGAGATGGCAAAAAGAATAGCGATGGATAGAAGTTAAGGAGAAAATCTACATATAAAAGGTTAATGGTACACATTAGGAACGATAACAGACAAAATATTTATTATATTAATGTATTAAAAATGTTTTTTTAATAAATAAAGTTGTTGAAATAATTAAATTTTGTTCTATTTGTGGTCACGTTTGCCATTAAGGTATACGTTAAGAAAACTCATATATATGAGGGTATTTGAGTAAAAGCATTTACTAGTTTAGGCTTTGAAAATAAGGTGAATTTAGTAAATATCCCTAGATGGATCCATTTGACTCTCGTGAGGGTCATGTATCATTTTTCGAATAAATGCTCGTCTTGTTTTTCAAATGGTTTACTTAACTATTTTTTTTTTTTTTTTTTTTTTTTTGGTTATAGTCTTAATTTTCTATTAGTTGAATTTTTTTTTTTATACGAAGGATTAGACTCTGCTATTTATGTTTAAGTCAATGAGAATAATTCTTCGATGAAACAAATTTACCAACTCATTTCCTTCATGTATACGACAAATAACAAAATAATATATGACTAAAGTATGGGGGAGCAACTTATACCTACCAGAGTTTGCTTTGAAGGCAAATTGGTATTCACAAAGTTTTGAAATGATAAATACCAACTTTTCGTCCAAATCTGTTAATTAAAATAGTATTATTGATATTCTATCATTTTTGTGAAGTCATTTTGACTTTTTTGTTTTAGGGTTTGTGCATCAAAAAATAAAAAAAGTTAAAAAAAAAAATTGCATTAATAAAATATTAAAAAAATCCATCCAAATCTCTTATCTTTCCTTTTCTTCTCCCCCTTCTCTCTCTCTCTCATCTTTCTCTTATTCTCTACCTTCTCTTTCTTTCCCTTTCTTCTCCCTCTTTTTCCTCCAGTCACTAGGCAAGAACCCAGCATCGAAATATGGACAAGAACCTGGCCAAATCGAAAGCCTCTCTCCTCTCTCTCTCCCCATCTTCATCTTGCTCATAAAAGGGCAAAAAAAAAGGGGGTCATTTGCAAAGCTGTCGCACTTCCCCACCCATTTTCTGAAAGCCCCATCACTGAAAACCTTTCCTCTCCCCGCCAATCGTCTTTTTGGTGTGCCCTCTCCAAAACCTCCATTTTTCCCGTCATCGTTTGCTCACATTTCACCACCCATTGAATTCTTAGGGTTTTTGTTGTTTGTTGAATTGGGATTGATTGGTGTTTTTTGGAGTTTCTAATGGGAAATTGATGGTTGGAGATTAATTGGGAGTGTTTTTTTTTTTGTGTTTTTGTTTTATTTTTTGGGATTTCTGATCAGTTTGGCATTGATGATTGATTTTCCAAGTTTTGGCACACCACTTGTTTGAGGTTTCTTCTCAATTTTAATTATTTTATTTTTAGGGCTTTGGTCATTTTTGCTGGTTGTTGTCCTGGTTCTGGCAACTGTGGTTCTCGCGAGAGATGAAGAAGATGAGAATTTTAATTAAAATTAATTATAAAAATAAAATAATTAAAATTGAGAAGAAAGATTTTTATAAAATTAATATTAAAGAGAGAAAATGGACACGTGACTAATGTAGAATGTTATATTTTTTTGTTGAATATAAAATTACCATATTATCCTTTTTTAAACAAACTTTACTAACAGATTTGGACGGAAGGTAGACAATTGACGTTTTCAAACTTTTTGGGTATCACATTATCTTTATAGCAAATTATAGGTGGGTGCATGCGTTTGGCCATAAAAATATAGGGTGCTTTTGGTTCAGTATTTCTACCCATATTCCCAATCCTATTCCCCAAATATTGTTTGGCACATTATTCCAGAAATATTAGTGAATTTTTTTAATTGCTTTTAGACCCCTCAAGTTTATTAATTTCACTAAATACTCCCCAGAAAAAAGTTTAAAAATTAGCAAAAATACCCCCACCCACCCATACTTGCCAGATTTCGGCAACCACCGTCGGTGGTAGCCAGAATCTGTCACAACAGCTTAAACCAAGCCCGGAACTGATCGGTTATTCATCGATCATCAACGCTGACCATTTCTTTGGCTGTCGCTGATGGCCAAAGATGGACCTTTGCGACCGTCGACGACCACATTTAAGCGTAGATATGGCGTTTTCCATCTAGATCCATGGTGGATCTGGCCAGAAAAGGCTATAGCGACGTGTTACGACATATATTCGACCGGTCTGTGTCGTAATGAAATTTTTTGGCCAAATTCCGGTGGTGGTGGCCGGAATCTAGCACTGCGAGTGGTGGGAGTATTTTTGTCATTTTACATATTGGGGTGTTTAATTAAATTAGTAAACCTTGAGGTTTTTTTAAAATTTTTAAATTTTACCTCGTAATACTCTCCTATCCAACTATCCAAAATTATTCTCAAAATCCTATCCAAAATAATGAACCAAATGCACTCATAGATGTTATGATATATCATTTAAAATCCAACTGTATTTATCTATTTATGGAAAATATCGTGTTCCTTTATTAGTAGTAATTTTGAAAATAATATTTTTATAATATAATTTATTAATTAACCTATAAATAATTTAGTATAACCGTGAAAAATTAATTGATATTAGTAAATTTAAATTGAAAATAATGAAATTTTCCAAAAAAGAAAAAGACAAAAAAAAAAAAAAAAAGAGAGACAAACCAATCACCTAAAAACTCGGCCTTTTACAAAAGGTACATTCCCATCAAGCAAAAGCTCGCACAAGTTACGACGCAAGAGAAAAAAAAATCAGGTGCAACGTGTCCCACACATAAATTGTACGTCCCGTCAATTAAAGTCAACCGTCACAAATACGCTAAAAATTCGGATTCGCAGATATTATTAGTTACAGCATTTAATTACACAATACAGTTGGATAATAAATTTGCTGACCCCCTAAGATTTAAACTAATAAAGTACCCTTTACAGTTTAGGAATTATCACTTACATCCCCTGAGTTTGTGTATATAGCTATATGCTTTGACTTTGTTTATAAAGATTAGAGTATTTGCACACACTCGACATTCATTTTTTTTTTTTTTTAAGAATCACTCGTTATAAATATTTATAATTCCAATAAAAACTCATATGGTAAAACTTGATTAAATAGAAGTTATATAAAAATCACAAATATCATTGAAAGTAATTAAAAAAAAATCATTTTTTTAAAATTATTAATTGTATCTACTCTTATTAAAATGAGTATATAATTCTTTTTTTTTACACAGAATGTCCAAATGGTTTGTGCATACTTCGACTAATCCTTGTAGGTAACTAACACAATATCCCACCGTCATGAACATCTGCTTAAATCTTGAGAGTACACCTTAACCACACATCTTAATGCCCGTCTTACCACTTGAGCTACTCAAAGGTGGGTGGATGAGTATATAAATTATAATAAGAAGAGAGATGAATATGGCTTATCTTGTTACCTTAAGATCGTAACATCAAGCTACCAGTGTTACTTCGTACGAGCTAAGGCAGTGTTGCTTTACTCCAAGTCGGTGAAGGGGTTGTGTTTGTACACTATCGCTCACCTTCACAAACACTAATGTTAGTCGTGCACTGCATCAATTCTTTAATTATTGTTGGATAATACAACATATATAAACACATTAACTGATACAACAAACCTGTATAGTTATCACACCATTCCCTTCAGTTTATTTAATTTGATTAGTTTGAGAGTTAGTTTAGACATGCAATACAATCCTTATTGTTAAGCATAATTTTTAAACAGTAAGGGGTTCTTCAAATCTAGTGAAGTTTGAGGGTGTAAAATGATAATAATTAGAAAAATAGAAAAATTTACGCTTAGCCACTCGCCGCTCAGCACGTACTTATATAGAAAAGAAATTCAGGAACATCAATTAATTTAAGTAAAAAAAAATTTAATTAATTAAAATTTGAACACCGTTAATTAGTTAGCCTGTTTTCTCACGCAAACAGACCTGAGGTTGTACGGACACACCAAATTTAAATATAAATTAATTATTTAAAAAGAAAGAAAAAAATTATTTACTGTTATTATTATTATAATTATAATTATTATTTTGTCTTTTAGGTTCCAGCACAACGCGAAAATAACGACGGCTGAAAGAAGAAAGAAAGAAAGACAGAAGAAAGAGAGAAGAATTTGATCTGGTTTTTTTCAAACAAGGTAAAAAATATATTTTTTATTTTTTTAAATGTTAAATTATTAGCGTTTTTCGGGGGATACTTTCGCTCCGTGTCAGATCTCACGCCGGCACAAAATCTAGGGTTTCTATGGGATTTAGCATTGTTGCAATTTTTAATTCTGATGATTTTGATAGATTTTGTTGTTTTGGAGTGGATGCTGGTTTGATTCATATTTTTTTTTTTTTTAAGAAATTTGTGAAAAAAATGGGTTTGTTTTAATTTTTTTTGCTTGTTTTTGACACTTTTGTTCCATCTTTTTGTAAAAGTTTTTTTTTTTTTGATTTTTTGATTTTTTGATTATTTTTGTTGTGGAAAGTTTGATATGTATGTATTTGAGTCACTTGCATTTTGGTTTTTTTTCAGGGTTTCGATCTGTCTGTGGTTATTGAGAAGAGCAGTTGTTGGATTGAAGATTTGAAATTTGTGGAATTATGAGAACTTCGTGGGCTGATTCTGTGGCCAATTCTGAGATTGGAAATGGAGTGACTGGTTCATCTAATAGCAATGGGAGCTCAGCTCGTCCCACAAAGGCCACTTATGTGCCACCACATCTCCGTAACAAGCCCCTCTCATCCGATCCTCCTGCCTACTCGCCAGCCCCAGCTCCATTGCTGTCCAATGATCGCCCAGCTGTAGGTTATGCGGCATCTGCTGGTGCGTCCCGCTGGGTTGGTGGTTCACGTCCTGATCTTGGGCGTCAAACTGGTTATGGGGGGTCTGGTGTTCAAAATTATGGTGGTAGAACTGTTGGTGGTGGTGGTGGTTGGAATAATAGAAGTGGGGGGTGGGACCGGAGAGAGCGGGAAGTGAACCCATTTACTGACGATGTTAATGCAGAGCAGGCGCTTGGTGAACAGGAAAATACAGTGATAAATTTTGATGCTTATGAGGATATTCCAGTGGAGACGAGCGGTGATAATGTGCCACCACCAGTTAATACATTTGCCGAGATAGATTTAGGGGAGGGGTTGAATGCTAATATTAGGAGGTGCAAGTATGTTAAACCGACTCCAGTTCAGCGTCACGCAATTCCTATATCGCTTGGAGGGCGGGATTTAATGGCATGTGCTCAAACGGGGTCGGGGAAGACAGCTGCTTTTTGCTTTCCGATTATTAGTGGGATAATGCGGGAGCAGTATGTACAGAGACCGCGTGGAGCACGAACTGTTTACCCTCTTGCTCTTATTCTTTCCCCAACGAGGGAGCTCTCATGTCAGGTGGGATTGGTCTGGATCATTTATGTAATAAGCATGATCAGATTATGTGATTTTTCAGCTGGGCAGTAATATTTTTTTGTTTCATTTGTGATTTATATACAGATACATGAGGAAGCCAGAAAGTTTTCCTACCAAACTGGTGTTAAGGTGGTGGTTGCTTATGGAGGAGCACCAATCAAAGACCAGGTTTACATTATTTGATATCAGTTGGGTTGTTCTGGTTGTTTGACTGTAATTTTTGGCTTCTTATGCTTTGTATTTGTTAATTTCATGACATTCTAATCTCCTGTTTGTGGTCCATATCTGTATTATCTGGTCTATTATCTTCTAACATATCTTTACTGCTTGAATTAAATTCAACTGATTTTTGTTGTTAAATATCAACTAATTGTTTATATAAATTATTACCTGTTGAAATTGTAGAATGTAGAAACTGCTTTTAGAAAGCTTTTCTTTGGTGGGAAACAGGAAATATGTTTGGTATTTGTATCTACATTCCATACAACGTTCTTGGAACTGCTTTTTGGCGATACTCTTCTCTTGGATTTAATTAATAAATTCATATATTTACCTCATAAATGTTTTATTTGATAGCTTGATCTGTTTTTCATCACATTTATCGTTGCTTTTGTCTGTGATGTTATATTGTTCTTGAAGGTGTGAGTGCTATTTTTCTTCTATTGTGCTACTCCTTGTTCTATTGATTATTTTATGAATCTTTATTGCTTAACTTTATTTTGTACTGATGGTGTGTTGTTTGTTAGTTGCGAGAGCTTGAGAGAGGGGTTGATATTCTAGTGGCAACTCCGGGGCGATTGGTTGATCTGCTTGAGAGGGCTAGAGTGTCACTGCAGATGATTCGATACCTGGCTCTCGATGAGGCAGATCGGATGCTGGATATGGGTTTTGAGCCTCAAATCAGAAAAATAGTGGAACAAATGGATATGCCTCCTCCGGGGGTGAGACAGACTATGCTTTTCAGTGCCACCTTTCCTAAAGAGATACAGGTTTGTTTCAATAACTTGTAGGGCTTCCTTTGGTACCTATTCAAGTTGTGTTTTATCCCCATGACAATTGGAGCTACTGATATAGTTTTTACTACTAGTACTATTGTTATTTTTGTTAGTAGATTCGTTAAAATAAGAAACAGGGTGAAATCATGGTGCACGATATTTTGCAACAACGAATATATTTTCTAGCTTCCCTAGTCATGGTCAAGTCACAGTTATATTCTAGTTTTGTTACTGTTACAAGATATAAACTTCAGTGTGGGTTGGACTTATGTGGTTGTGCCAGCTACTTCTATCTATTCAATATAGTAATATAGCATAATATGTGTAGTTGAGAATCATTTTTCGAAGAGTAGAAGTTCTAAATAAAATTGTCTTGCAAGCTTCAGTTGACAGTTTTCTTTGCAATTTGCTTGGTGAACAGAGACTGGCATCTGATTTTCTTGCAAATTACATCTTTCTGGCTGTTGGAAGGGTTGGGTCAAGTACTGATCTTATAGTTCAAAGGGTTGAATTCGTTCATGAGTCTGACAAGAGAAGCCATCTGATGGACCTTCTGCATGCACAGAGGGAAAATGGGGTTCATGGCAAGGTAAAGACATATCATCTTGCCTATTTTAGTTCCTTATTAGTTGGTTATGTCTTTGTTGGAGAAAAAATTTCTGGGAGCTTTCTCCCCGTAAATGTATGTGTATATTAATCAAAACTACTGAGTCAGGGGGTATTCATTCTGATTTAATTTGATAGGTTGATCTTTATATGTCTCAATATTGAAGCTACTTGTCTTTGGAGTTTGCAGCAATCTCTGACATTAGTTTTTGTGGAGACAAAGAAAGGAGCTGATTCATTGGAATATTGGTTGTGTATGAATGGGTTTCCTGCAACTACCATTCATGGTGACAGATCACAACAGGTTAGTTTGTCAGAATCTATGGAGCAAAAAGAAACAAAAATTTGGTTGGATCTGATTGTGCATTGACTTGTGCTTGTATTTGAGTTCCAATAATATTAGAATCATCATCTACATGTTAACCTGAGTTGTTTTACCTGAAGTTTTAGTTAATCAGATGACCTTCGGGTTCTGTGCAGGAAAGAGAATCTGCATTGAGATCATTTAAGAGTGGAAAGACACCAATTTTAGTAGCAACAGATGTGGCAGCACGTGGTCTTGATATACCACATGTAGCTCATGTAGTCAACTTTGACCTCCCCAATGACATTGATGATTATGTTCATCGGATAGGAAGGACAGGGCGAGCAGGAAAAACAGGAGTAGCAACAGCCTTCTTTAATGAGAACAATATGTCTTTGTCAAGGCCACTATCTGAGCTAATGCAAGAAGCAAATCAGGAAGTACCTGCTTGGCTTAGTCGTTATGCATCACGAGCTACTCTTAGTGGTGGTAAGAATCGAAGGTCTGGAGGGCGTTTTGGTGGTCGTGACTTTAGAAGAGATAGCTCAATGAGTAGGGCTGCCCCAAGTGCAGATTACTATGGTGGAATGAATAGTAGTGGTGGATATGGAGTTCCTGGCGGTTATGGTGGGGGATATGGTCCAGGTGTGACCAGTGCGTGGGATTAGCATCCTTCTTTATACTGAAATGTTTCCTACTGTTCTCTTGAGTGTATATATTATTTCTTCAGAATTTAAGGATTATTACGACTCCTTTTTTCTTGACTTCTGTCTTGAGCTCATTTGGGTTCTAATCCAGGATGCAGGCTTTGTTGAGTTTTATGGAGGGGGTACAAGTTTGCTGTAAGTATCATGGCTTATTGACCTTGGGAGGATCCAGTGGTGGTTAGCTTGGTGGTGAATAGAAACTATTGAATTAGGTTTATGATGTCCTAAGTGACTTGCTAGTATGTTTATATACTCCAATTGGTGAAATGTAGAGAATATGTACATATATGAGCTCTATTACAGTACCAGCACCGTAACTTTACTAGATTGATTATTGTCAGATTAACACTACGCTCTTCTGGGTATCAACGGGATAGTTTACTAACCCGTAACGTCACCAGATCGATACCTTAGCATTTTCCATACATATAGGGGAAAAGCAGTAGGTAGGAGTAGCTGCCCTGACATTGGTGTATTTATGGATTCTTTTTGGGTTGTTGAAGGGGAGTTGGGCAAAATGAGGAAGTGCTTTTGTAGACAGCTGCAGCTTGAGAAGTGCTTTCGCAGATGAAAAGTAGTTGGGGGTTTGTAGGTTTTGCAAATGGTGGTGTAGCTTTCCTTCTTTTATTTATTGTTAAGAGCTTTTTATTTATTGTTAAGAGCTTTTTATTTATTAATTCACACTACAATCTTGGTATCATTAATTCTGGATTGGAAACACAAAAAGATACTTGAGAAACTGCTCATTTGAACATGCTGATATTTGTTGAATCAATCTAATAGGGGAATGTATTCGAGATCTTTGTAATCTTTTAATGCTATAGAGTTACTCTAGTCGCATGCCAATTCTTATTACTGTACTTATTGTGGTTGCGACTAATATTATGCTTATTCACTAAGATTAGAGTTGACATTAAACATAGATTGTATTCTGATAAGAAATGCATTAACAAAATACATGGATAGTTTTATGAGTGAACGACTTTTTTCTCACCCTAAAAGTTTCAAAATACTACTTTTTCATTCAAAGTTTATATTCCGTTAATATTCAAAATACATTTTATTTTTTTAGTTGACATTTGACGAGTTATCAAGAGTTAAAGTAAGACAAGTTTTGTAGAGTGGAGGCCAATGGATCGAACGGTGGTGACTGATTGAATGTTTACTATCGGAATCAATCGAAAATCAGCTAAATAAGAATAGAAAACTCTAGGTGTCGGAGTAAGAGAGGTTTTGTAGAAAGGAGATTAAAGGTTCAAATGGTGGTGACAGAGAGAATTTTTGCTGTCAAAATCAGCTTTGGGTAGTAACGGAATATTAATTTTGGGTGAGAAAGTGGTATTTTAAAACTTTTTGGATGGAAAAGTTCATTAAGGCAAACCTTGGGTTGGGAAATAGTAGTTTACTGATAGTTTCATCATCTTACTTTGTTGAACACAAGGAGATTGTCTGGCTAAAATTAATCATATGCATATCATCATGTTTGATAGTTTAAAAACTGTTATAATCATATACATATCATCATGTTTGATAGTTTAAAAACTGTTATTTGTGTAACTCATATGGACGCTTTTACCTTTGCGGTTTCATGGTCTTAGTATGGTGATGTCGTAACTCGTAAGAACTTTGATGTCAGCCTTTTTACCGAATACTTTCATTATGATCTTTGATTTAAATTCTTTCTCAGAATACTTTCATTGTTGATGGGGTTTTATTTTATTTATCCCACTGTGAAATTGTTTAATATGAAACACATCCACTGATACTGAAAAGTATGATATATTTTATATGATTATAAACGAAAACCTGCAAAAATATTAAACACCTCTTTACAAAATTATAAAAAATCCCCAGTTTAAGAATAGTTAATACTATTTAACAACAGGGATGCATCGTTGATGGCATAAACTTTGAAAATCAAGTGCATTTCACCATTGCCAAAACATTAGAAATCAAATTTGAATTAGATGAAGTTGGCATGCAAACCAGAAAAGGAAGCTTGTTGCAAAGCCATGCTTTAGAAATTCATTATCTTCTTTTGGCCAAAAGCTCCTCAAAATTCAAAAAGTAAAATATACCTAATGCTATCAGTTACACATAATCTTCTTCTAAACAACTTTTAACATTCAATTAAATCAATAATGGTAGAAGCTCTACTCTGCAATCTAAGATTTCAACAGCTTAAATCAAGTATCCGAGAAAATTCTACTGGCAATTTGACCTGCATTTCCATTTTGAGAAAGCAAAGCTGCAAAGAAAAATGTTCCGCTTCTCCAATCTGATTTGAGTAAGAATTTATGGATGCTGGTAAATCTGGAATGCATTCTTCCACATAGTGAAGATAAAAACAAGCGAAAGAATAGCTGACTCGAGTATCTGCTTCTCCATTTATATTTCTGGCTCATCATTTCTTTACTTTCTCTTCTAAATTCTTGTACATTCTCCTAAAGAGAAGTACTAACCTGAAGTCCTGATCATCATCTTTATCTGGTTTAAGTTACAAAATATAGTGTGTTAATGTAAGATGATCATGGCTCCTCATCGGACTCATCCTCCAATTCTGAGGTTTCCTCATAGCAATCATCACCAGATCCGATCTCTTCCTCCTCAGTCTCTTCTTGTTCTGTTTCACTCTCCACATTATCATCAAGCAAAATGTCTTCTTGAGGTAAAATATTCACACCTTTAGATCGATATAGAAGCCCGGTTTTCATTACATGATAAAATTTCTTTCTAATACGAACAAGGGGATGCGGGTCTACTACACTTCCTCGCTGGTACCCTTCCTTGAGAGCCACAGTAGTCGTCTTACACTTCAGTGAGAGGTAGAAGATCCCTGGATACCTGGTAAATAATCGAGTAAACTTTTGCGGAAGACTCAGTTCCTCTCTCAGGCTTCTCAAGTAGTTCCTCTTAGTCTTCTTGTGAATTGTCAAGCTTAATATCTCATGCAAAACTCCAACAGCTCGTTTCTCCATAAGATCACTATTTGGGTCAATCAGCCTGGCATCCTCGTAAGGCGAAATATATGGCAGCTTCTGGAACTCCTCCATCCATGCTCTCACCTTCTTCTGCGCTCCATATCCCCTTGGGAAATTCATTGGAAATGCCAATGCTGTTTGCCCTCTTTTGAGTTGCCTATACTCGTTACCAGTCTCCTTACTTTCATTACGTTTCTGCAATGCAGAAATTGCAAACTCTTCATGCCATTGTGCAAGTCGCAAACCAGCAAGTCCATTTGAGGTCTTAACAAATAGAAAATCATCTGGGTATTTTGGAATCAATATTTTCTCAAAATTATCTGGCAAACCAAGATCCCATTTCAAAGAATGTAACGATTGGAGCGGCATTGTCCTACTCTTCATCATCATCAGCATTCTACAAAGCCTCTCCATAGTATCTTTCTCATAAGTTTGGTGTATACTTTGCTCTTGTGAGTCCAACAATTGTGCAGTATCTGTCAGTCGAAAACAAGGCAAATTTGCATATCGGCTATGGGGGAATTCCTCAAAAAGAGTCGGATACCTACACAAGAATTGAACATTATAACCATCATCACCATTCTTCAAATCTTCCCAACACTATCATTTTAAAAACTTGATAAATTTTCTACAAGTTCTGTCTGTATAGTTTTGCAACTCAAGAGACCATGTAGCATCAATTCATTTAAACGAAAGCAAATAAAAGCACTTTTCTGTTAAGTTTATAGTGTTTGGCTAAACTGCTTTTTGGAGAAGCACAGTATCTAGAAAAAAACACTTCTCTATGAAGAAACACTTCATAGATGCTTTTGCAACAAAAGACCTTCAAATGGTAAAAAGTACTTCTGCGTTAAGTTTGTAATGGTTGGCTAAAATGCTTTCTGAAATCCAAAAAGCACTTCAAGAAGCAAATACATATAAGCACTTAAAATAACTGAAAGCCCTTCCACAAAATCACTTCCAAACCCACCTTACTACACCATGCCTATAATTCAAACATCTATCGAAAACACAAAATGGGTATGCAAAAATCCATAAAAATTATCAAAAAAAGAAAAGCACCTGCGCAAAAAGCGAACAACGGGAACAGTGAGACCGAGAAGCTTTTGCCATTCAGAGACAGATTTTGCAGTGAGAAACCCAGTAGAAGAGCGCTTAATCGCGTCTTTTAAGAGACAAGCGGCCTTTAAATCGGTATCGATATCTATAATGTGGTCTAAGCCACGGTTCTTGACCCATTTCAGACGAACTTTGGTGATGAATCGGCTTTGGTAAAGCCATTTTGAGGAGGGTTTAAGAAGGGTTTGGGATGAAAATTGTTTTGCAGGTGAGAAGATTGAGTTTTGGGCTCTGAAAATCATGTGTGTTGTGCAAAGTTTTGAACTTTGTTGAGGATTACATTGAGACGGAGGAAAGAGAGTGAGTTTGCTTTTAGAGAAGTTTCGTTTTGGGTTTTTCTGAAAAAATATGAAGTATGAAGATCTATAAAATTATATTACAAGGTCCTCAAGTTAAAAGCGCTATTATTAAGGATACTAACTTACAAAATTTTACAATGGGAGGACAAAAATTAAAATCGTTCAATTAAAGGAGATTGAACAATTAAAGTAAAATGACAACGTGATTTAAATGCCCTAGATTTTTTTTTAGAGTGAATTTAATTCTTAAAATCAAAGACTTAAAGCTTCTTCTCATAAGGAAATCGATTGTTTATTAAAACTAAAAATAAAATTAAAAAATAGAAATAAACTAAAGAAAGTAAGCCTATTTTTTTTTTAATTTTTAGTTTTAATAAATTTTTATTATTTATTTTAAAAAAGAGAATAATTTAAATTATTAAATTACGTTTTTACGTTGTATAAAGTTAAATTTAACTCTAACTGAATAATTAATGTTCTAATTAATAATAATCCAACTTAAGACACCTGGCTTAAATCGTGGGTTCTAATGAAATTTTAAAGGACTTCGAACTTTGTATTTTTGCACAGTCCACCTAAACCGAAATTACAACTTACGTTCGATTATTATTTGCCCTGTAAATGAATCAGAAAATGGAAGAAGAGAGAGCAAAAGAAGAGGAAACATGGAGCAGAGAAACAGTCCCAAAAGTAATGAGAATTGTGAGCTCAAGGCTCCCTCAAAGAGATTTAATTTCTCTTCTTCTCGTTAGCCCATCTCTTCATCGTACTTTACTTTCATATTCCTCTCTTTGGCTGGTACCCTTTTCATCTCTATTTTTTATTTTTTTAATGTGTTATCAAGTTCATATCGGTTTTTGTGATGTGGGTTTTTGTTTATTTGTGCTTTTGGTTTCAGGTTATTGATTTGCGTGAGATGAATAATGCTGGAAATAGACTTATAGCTGCTCTTTCAATGGTGAGATATGAGAAGATTTTGATTTATGAACTATGTGGTTAATTGAAGGGAAACCAAAAAAAAAAGATGGGTTTGTGTTGAATGATAACGAGGTTTTAGTGGAAAGTATTGGTCTTGTGGCTTGAGAAATTGAACTTTGAGATAATATCTCTTAAAAGTTAATATATTTTTAATCCAAATGTTAAGGTTTGGAGTTAAAAGGATTTGTGGTTAAAATGTCGACTTAGTTTCTGGCATTTGGACTCACAGCTACTTGTTCAATGTGTGTTGTGTTTTATGAGAAGGTTTTGATTCATGAAGCTATGAATGTGGCAATTGAAGGTGAAAAAAAGATGATCAAGTTCATGAATTTTCCTTCGGAATTTTAAGATATGAAGTTAAAATGTTGACTTTGTCACCGGTATTTGGACTTGTAGCTGCTTTCAATGGTGTATTATGTTTCCTGAGCAGATTTTGATTCATGAAACAATGAATGTGCAATTGAAGGAAAAAGATAAAATTGATGGGTTTGTGTTGTTTCACGATGAGGTTTTAGTCACAAGTTTTGATCTTGTCGTGAAAGCTTTAACTTAGAGATATAAACTCTTAAAATTTCTTGATTTTTAATTCAACCAGTTAAGATTTAGATTTAAAAAGCGATTTTTGATATTGTTAAATTGGTTACTGACATTTGAGTTCGGATTGTTTGATAATGATGATTTAGTAGAAAGTTTGAATTTTGTGGCTTAAATTAGCTTTGAGATATAAAATCTTAAAAGTTTGTGTATTTTAATCCAAGTTCTAAGATTTGGAGTAAAAAAGTAACATTTAAATTGCCAAATTATTTCTGATGTTTGGAGTCTGTGCCAGTGAAATGTTAAATCACAAGAGCTTGACTTTTAGGAAATCAGCAGAAGTAAAATTGCTTAGTTTTGTACTTCATTTTTTGTCTTTTGCTTTATTTTTTAAGTATTATGGATAGTTATATGATCGGTTGAGAATTTTGTGTGTTTTGTAGCCTAGATATCAGAATGTGAAACAGATAAACCTTGAGTTTGCGCAAGATATTGAAGACAGACATCTCGACCTCCTTAAAACCAAGGTGATATTTTGTATCTTTAACTGGTTTAAAGTTGTTTCCATGTCATTTATTGAAAAATTTCTGTGGAATGTAAGATCACTTTCATGATTTCATGAAAAAAATATACCTGTTAAGAGATATAATGATCATCAAATTGGTAGTATCCTCTTTAGCAACTTTATGAGGAGTTGCTGCACATTTTTTGGTTGGCTTGATCTTAAATCAAATGCTGCATTCATTGCTGTATTTTTGCGAGCATGGACTTGGAAGAATATTTAAACTGTACTATTATTGTGGAGACCCATACATGGTATCTAGTTGAAGTATCTTTCTCAACCGTGACAAAAAAATATTTTAGGCATAAGATAAGTTACGGTCAATGGTTTTTTCGTCTGATAAAATATTATTGATGGAATTTTATTCATTTTTACAGTGTTTGGGTTCTTTGCAAAACCTGGAGTCTTTGAATCTGAATGGTTGTCAGAAGATCTCAGACAAGGGCATTGAAATTATAACTACTGCTTGTCCTAAACTGAAAGTGTTCTCCATTTATTGGAATGTAAGGTATTTTAAGATTTACTGATCTGCCATTACTATCAGTAGTTTAAGTATATGTTTCTGGAGTGTATTGTTTATTGATACTGATGAGTTTTGGAATCCAAATTGAACTTCAGAGTAACAGATATTGGCATACAGCATCTGGTAAAGAACTGCAAATATATTGTTGATTTGAACTTAAGTGGCTGTAAGGTAATTGATTACTATTTTCATTGCCATCTTGAATATAGATAGGAGGTTAGATTCAAAGTTTTGTTTTGTCCAACTAAAGCAATATGTGAAATTATAGAATAATTTTATCTCTTATAATGGGTTTTCTATTGTATAATCTGCTTATAGATAAACCGTCAAATTAAATAGAGATTATCTTGAAGGATTGTCATTCAATAAAGCGTTTTGTTGTTACAATGCAGAATATATCTGACAAGAGTTTGCAATTAGTTGCTGACAATTATCAAGAGATAGAATCATTGAACCTGACTAGGTATGTAATTGTGATTGCTGGAACAACTTCATATAAGGAGAAGCAAGGCTGAAATGGCTTCTTCTTTTATATCTCATGACATATGACTCTCACAGTTCATTTCTCATTTCTCAAGAATTGTATATTTAACTCATTTTAAAAGTCGTGACAACATGGTCCATGTTAATGTCACCAATACTATTCAGACAAGGGAAATAATTATTAGATAAATCCAAGACGTGCATAATTTATTCTCATAAATATTTGCTTGAGTACTGTATGCACATAATGAGACGAATAAATCGATTACTTCCAATGAAGAACTATATCTTTTGATTATGCTAGTGTCTCATAATCCTGTGGCGTTTTCCAGGTGTGTCAAGCTAACAGATGGTGGCTTGCAAAAAATTTTGCTCAAGTGCACCTCTCTCAAGAGTTTAAATCTTTATGCCCTTTCTAGGTATGCTGTGATCTTTTTTTTTTTTTTTTTTTTAATATGTCATATTTTCTTGTGTTTTTTTCATCAGGGATCTCTGTTTTATAGGACTGACTGCATTGTTTTTCTCCAGCTTCACAGGTGAAGCTTACAATAAGATATCACTTTTATCCCATCTCTGTTTCTTGGACCTATGTGGCGCTCAGGTATAGCTTGTGCTTTCTGAGCAAGTGTTTCACTCCAAAATTTTCGTGCTAATGATTGAGAATTGTTAAAATTATGATTTTCAGAATCTGTCAGATGAAGGACTTGCCTGTATAGCTAAATGCAAGAATCTTGTATCTCTCAATTTAACATGGTAAGCGTTGACCTTTAGTATTTTACTTGAGAGTAGATGAACTGGTTATAATTGAAAGTCTCTCCTTGGTAGGTGTGTACGTATCACTGATGCGGGGGTGATAGTTCTTGCTCAAGGTTGCACCTCTCTTGAATTTCTTAGGTAATTCCTGAAAAGAAAAATAGTACTAGATTTGGATTTTGAAAGCACCATAATTTTTGTTTTTTTGCAATTTATATATTGACTTCAGTAGTTACTTTATTTCACTCTCTTCTTTATGTATTTATTTAATTATCGGTAGGAAACAGTAAACTTTTCTAATTAATACAAGTTGTTAACAAAAGTGCAAAGTAACATGTTCTAGAACAGTCGAATTAATACAAGTATCAGAATCAGGAAATTCTAAAGAGTCGTCAATATTACATGAATTACATGAAGAATACCCAAAAAACAAGATGTGGATGATCCTCTCCTCTATTGTCTACAAAATTCTTCTCAAAATTTCTCATGTCATAATAGCACCTCTTCCCAGATGTAAAAAATTGAAAAGAAAAAAGTTACCTTGAAATTCAGCTGCATTGTAGCCCAAATTGAGCTTTATCCATAAGAAATGAAGAGTTTTCCCGTTATAATTGTTTAATATCTAATTTGTTTTTTTCTAACTTTATAATGCAAAAGATAGCCATTGATTCATAATTCAATAGCATAGAGGCTTTTTTACCCACCTCGGGAAACTAGTATGCTTTTCGATAACCAAAGATACTCGAGCTTGGAATGATTCAGCTCAGTGTAGCTTTGTAAAAAAGTGTGAACCATAATTGCTAGGCAAGAGGGCAATGGAGAAAAAAGATGGTGATTATTGTTGGTCTCCTAACACATAAGACATCATGGGGTAGAGAAACAAATTTTTGATTTCTTTGATGAATATCTTTCATTTTGACCCTTTGATGTGCAGTTGTCCAAGATAAAAGTTGAACATCACTAGGAATTTTGACTTTCCAAATTTTCAAAGAGGATTCGGAAAAAGGGATCGGGGAATTTCAATTAGGCACTCAAAATAAATTTTCTGAGAGAAGTTGTGTGACTTATTGAGGCACTCAAAATATCAGTTATCCTTGTGTCTTATGTATTGAATTAAATGAAAGCTC